TTCGTCGGCATTAACCGCTGATACCGGCCACTCTCTCTATGGACTTAGGCTAATACCCGCACCCTACCTGGGTTGGTCATTATCTACGGTCGACCAGTTGGACAACAAAATCTGACAGTGGTTAAGCACGTGAATAGCTTGTTCTTCAATTCTATGGGAATGTATTTCGGTACTCAGTAAGATTATTTAGCTGACAGGGTTCAGGTAATTATTACTGTATTAAACTGTAGGAATCTAATGTGATATTTTCCCAAGGTTTTCTTTGTGACGATAACCTGATATAGACTAGAGACCTACTGATGTATGGAAAGTTTGAATCATGATCGTGAGAGAATGAAATCCTACATATTAAAAGTTAATTTTCCAAAACCATGAATCTTTATCAATTTGAAATAAAACCCATGCAAGAAAGTCAATAGCTTCTCCAGAAAAATAATCAACAAAGATGTTCTTAGAGATAAGATTATCAAAAAGAAACTATATACTGAACTTACTTTTGGTGACTCAAACACGATTTAACCAGTCTATTGAGTATGTTTACCAACATCCAAATGAATACCAATACAATTTTTTAAGATAGCATAATTGTTAAGCTCTATAAGAGCTATAATAATAGATTAAGAATTAGCCCATGTATATTTTTATGATAATCTTTTCAAAGGGTTTGCTAATCTGCATGCATTCAACCAGAAAATATATAGATTTCTTTTTTGAAAAAAGTAAAAAAAAGTGTGCAGCAGGAAGTATATATATAATAGGTGATAATAGGTAAGTCTTTTCAAAAACAATTTCATGTCATTCTTATCAATTATAGTGATTAGCATCTATTATTCTGATAATATATCTCTATAACAGCATTATACATTATATAATCAATATTGCTTGAAAAATATTCTGAGAACATATTTTTGCCAAAAAGTCCTCTAAAAAAATATATTACTTTTCCCAAATTACTATAAAATGGCACCATTTGGGCTCATATGGAGAAAAAAATCTGATTTCTCCAAATTAAAAAAAAATATGTTGACTGACAGACAGATAAACAGACGTATGGATGGACAGATGGATGAGTGGTGATTCTACATTCTGATACTCAGACCATCTCTGCTATGCACAAGAAGGAAGAAGGAAACTGAGAGAAGGCTGTGATATCTCACGATGGTGATTCTATAAGCTGACCATGTTGAGCCCAAAAATGATTTTGATCTGACCTTACTCTTAGATCATCCCAAAAAAGTCCTGTAGTAGTGTAGTAGTCTAGCAACAAGCCCCTTTGACCCTATCCCCCTTTACTTGACTAAACACCTCACATTGGTTGGGATGAGTAGTTGGGGTTCACAAGGGCTTGTAGCTAGATGGTGTAAAAGTTGACCTCTTGTGATCAAAATGGTTCAATGAAAAGTATCCATAGGAAGATCAATAAAGAGACCAATGAATGTTAAACCTTAAACGATAATCATTATATCAAATACAGTAAATCAATCAATTTTCATCAGAAGAAGGGTCTGGCAATGTTAACTTTGAAAATGAGTCTTGCAACAGACAAATCTAAAAATGAGTAACAATAGACAATCTGATAATGGATCCGACAATGAACAATATGTACAATGTATATGGATCTGAAAATAAATAATCCGAAAAAAAATCTGAAAATTAGTGTGACAATGAATAATCTGAAAAAAATCTGAAAATGAGTTTGACAATAGATAATATGCTAGTAGATTTGACATTGAACAATCTGAATATAGATGTGACAATGATAAATCTGAAAATGAGTGTAACAATGAATAATCTGAAAAAAATCTGCAAATAAGTTTGACAATAGATAATATGCTAGTAGATGTGATATTGGACAATCTGAATATGGATCTGACAATTATAAATCTGAAAAAGAGTGTAACATTGAATAATCTGAAAAAATCTGAAAATAAGTTTGACAATAGACAATAAGTGTGACAATGAACAATCTGATAATAAATCTGACTATGAACAATCTGAAAATGAGCATAGCAACAATGTCAACAACTGATACATGGGTCTGACAATGAACAATCTGAAAATGTGTTAAATTAGAGACATAACATATATCAATGTCATCGTATACTCCTTAATATGTGAGTTTATTACATAAAATATTCTAAATCTAAATCATTCCAAGTTCAAATCGGATTGTGTTTCTATAATTTTTTAAGATCGTAAGACCCTCACATTGAACCTTTGATACAATAAGTAAGTTTGGGAAGTAACTATAGGAAAGGGGTGTCTCCAGAAAGGATGCACATTATTCATAACAATTATAAGATAGTATTATCAAGAAGCAAACTGTTTCAGAATATCTTAGATTTCGTGGAAAAATAAATCATACTGATCCATAAACAAAAATATTAATCACGCCATCTGACTATATGGCTATAGACTTTGGATTTCAAAATCTCACTTGAGATTTAAGATTACTTTTATAATGGATTTAAAAAAATGGTAGGATTTATAATGAATAGATTTGTAAGAGAGCATGCCATGCTGATTGAGAGGCCACAGAGAATGGCACTCTTTTTATCGAAGGATACACTCCGGTTCACAGTAAAATTATTAAAACCAGTATTATCCCACTAAAATTACCCCCTTTCAAATCAAACACCATTAATACCTGATTTCACACAAGTTGATTGTATGTGTCTCCTCAAGATTTAAGAAAGTGCCGTTTTCTGTCAAAAATTACAATTTCCTCTTTGGCTATGGGGATTTCTAAGGTAGCAAAGGGAAACGTTACTGATGTACAGTCACATGCAAACTTTTGAACATTTCTCATTTTCTATTTCAGGTCTGGTGATCACTAATCCCTGGGCTATTCATAAAGCTCTATCTTACCTATTTATGCCTAAATGGATTTTGAAATAAGGCAGTTCTTTTGTGAAATATTGCATTAATTTTGTGAAAAGGTTCCAGGGCGTACTTTGATGGGGCCAGGTTAGGATGAATAATGGTGGATAAATTCGTTTTAACCCTTTCCTCTGATCTACTCCCTGATCAAAACAAATGGAGTTATTCTTAAAAACATAACATTTCCATATGCCAGCTTAAGCACAGCCTGTTTTAATACTGGTTATGGATAATCTTTTTTAACAATTTTTAAAACATGCAGTAACATGTGCATTGCATCTTAATGTGATCTAAGTTTTCAATATATTGGCTGATGAGGTATGTCTTAAGTTGGGGTTATGTACGAGGATCAATAAAGGCACAGTTGTAGTAATTAGGCATTCCCTCTCATGGATAATCCGTTAAGTAATATGGATTACCAATAATCCTACTCGTGTATAGGTAGACACAATACAATGCAACATTATACACACATTCTTTATACAATCATTATTCTATTGAAATTATAAACACCATGTTGAAAATGAAATCATAATTTTCTTTCATAAGACGATTCAGAACCAGATTTTTGTGTGGAACCACAAAATGCTTAAAAATGGAAGCATATGCATCTTCTTACTCTTTTGTAATGCTTTTGTGTTTGATGAATTATTTTCTAGCTGTGATAATGTAGTTTCAGACTGTCAAACTTTAGCGGGTTACCCACAGGTTCTTAATTGGCGATTACCCCAAAATGTAGAGTTATTGGAATAAGCAATTAATTGGCCTTCGTTTCATTATTTTGGATTATTAGGCACTTAGGCGAACTTGATTCACATAAGTGAGCACCCTAGGGGTCTAGCTGCTGAACATGCTAAGCTGTCAGACTCAAAAGAGCGTTGTTTCCTTTACCACATTGCATGTTGGCCTGTTCTATTCTATGTATTTTACAGGGCACTTAATCTGCTTATCCCGCTACATAGGGTTAAACAATTTGGTAGATCTTCAGGTAGTTAAATCCAACATAAGAATGATTTATTCTTTTAAGATTGATAGGTTCAATCTTCCCTTGTCAGAATCTTTAGAGTCAGGCTGGTGAAGTGTGACACCCGCTAACACAAAACAAAGAGATATTTCACATGTATCTCCAAGCTAAACTCTAAACCTTTAATATCCATACATTAACTTTACATTAGACTCACATTTTCTAAACTTAATCTTTACAAAGCAATGTTTAAAAACTTCAAAGATCGGCTTATTATTAAATTTTATCTACTATCTGAAGGAATTTGATATGAATCTTCAGTTAGTTATAACACCATGCAATCTAAACTCAAAATCAAGAATGTACATGTCAAATGCCTCAAACAGATTATACAAAAACTTTAATTAGGTTTTTAATGGGATGAGATTTATGGTTTAAAATCAAAGCCTGAAAAGCTACATCTCAAATTGACTTATACATCGGGGAAGTTTAATTAATTTAATGAGGAACTTCGGATATTAAACAAGTTTATACCTTTAAATCTATTCTATATCCTCTATTGCTAAACTCACATGCACAGACTATTACCTAGCATTTAGGGATTTAAAAACCCACGCATAAAAAACACATTTAAAAGACAGTCTTTGTTCAACATCCTTTTGTGTGGTCTTTGGTAGGATGTCACCAGTCTTGTTTACCTGCTAATCTTTTCAAATGCAAATATGTATCACCAAACTATCGCTAATCGTCTTTTTTGGCAAAATAAATGTGCCACATAGGAATAAGGTTAATTCTAAAAGGCAACCACCACCAGGATTTTAAAATACATAGAAGGTGTTGATGACAACCATATTAGTTTTAGACTGCAAATTCACACATTTGATACAGGGTGTACCTGTGTTTTATTAAACTGTTAAATACCTCAACTGGAAGTCAGCTTTGACAAAAGATCTACTTTTTGTAAATCAAAGTCTATCGGGTCATATTAACAAAGACAAGATATGTACATATGGAGATGTACTGTCTTTGAGGCTGATTCACTCAGAGAAAAATTGTGATATTAGATGAGATGAAAATTGAGATTTGGTAACATTTGGTATCACCATCATCAGTAGCCAAACTTGATCTCTAGATAAGTATAGTGAAAGTATAATACCTGATGTTGCTGAGGCTGGTGCTGCAGAGGAATTGCCAGGTTTCATCATTCCCATTTTCACTAGTTTTTCCTCTTTCTGTGGAGTCAAGGGAATAGAATCTTTTGTCACCAATGAGTCTTGAGAGTTGCCAGGTTTTGGGCTCTATAAACAAATGAAAATTGTTTATTTATGGCTATATCTGTTTTTGTTTATTTTTGGCAGCTAATCTCATAACAGACACATCCTGAATATGTTGGAATAGATTTAAAGTATAAATGTACAGGTTGAGTCTAAATCAATATTTGGTGTGTAATGTTTTCAAAAAATGATAAAAAATTTTAGCAGCCTATTTCCCTGCATCTTGCATTCTTCCCAAACAAGGTTATATTCTTCATATAACTAGTAATAGCAAAAATAGAATGAAATGTTTGTTTTATTATTCACTGTAGTAGGACATTCACTCCTCAAAACAAGACTCGCTTATCTACCAATGGACAGTATGCATCACAGGGGAATATTTAGAGGTTATGTCACTATGACGTGAAATATGCCTGAGTTCTCCCAATATAGGCCGACCTTGGGAGGCTCTATATTTGGGCAAGAACGAAGGCATATTTCACGTCATAGTGACATAACTGATGTATTACATGCCTTTGTTCCCATGGTTACTTTGTATCAATGACGTGACGTCATGATATTATCATGGTTATTAAAGAAATCTAATATCAAAACGAGGTAAGCAGGCTATATCGGGGTAATCGGGCAATATCGGTGGATATAGCTCGCTAACTTTCCCATTGACTTCCATACAAATGCTTCGCTAGGTATGTAATACTACAGGATATTTCATGTCATGTGATGTGTGTTAAACCAATCACAGAATGAGTGACAACATATTTTGACAACCTATAGATATAGCTATTTGTTAGGATTTCTGTAAACCACTTATAAAGGAATCATTGTTTCTCATGGCAGAGAATATATTATATTACACTCTAAGGACAATAGCTCAGCCTGGAATACCTAGCTAATAATCTGGTCCATTGTTCTTACCTACTGTCATTGCAATTATTTTGATTACATGTTTACCAAGGATAAAGCCTTAGGATGGAGTTAGGGTAATTAAAATCGAGATCACATATAGTAACCCAAGACTAGTTTCTGTAGATTAATCCCACATCACACCTGTATCCACCTGTATCCCCGACTAACTAGGTACCTGCTTAGGTGCTATCTCAGGTAACATGGATTATAACTTGAATGACAAATGCAATATTACTGTCATTTTGGTTAGACATTCATATCTGGTTACAGCGCAATAGCACACACAGTTCTCTCAATATAATATGTTATTAACACATAGAGATAAGCTTGCAGGGTTTAGATAAGAGTAGAAACTCAACATGTGTTTTAGACCTTATCACAATTGAGGTCAATATAGAGATTATCAGTACAAACATGAATACATGTACATATAAACTGGAAATATGAAAAATCCATACACCCAATTCTATTAAATTATCAATGACTGATCTAAAATACAGCATCTACCAATAACTGTGAAATAAATATATTTTTAAATGTTATGTTATGTTGTTATATTCATTTAGCTTCTCTTCCTGTTTCTCATCAACAGTAATTTGAAAAATATAATGTTAGTTTTATCAGAGACATCCTCATTAGCGTTCCTAGGCCAAGTTGAAAATAAGCTTCAATTTCATCGTTCCAGCTTTAGTTAAAATGAAATTCATTTTGAGAAGTGATTTCAATGCTTCATTAAACTCACAATAACACCATAATATGATAATTAACTTAATATTACATCGACGACCAATAAAAATGATGCATAATGTTTCAAAAATTTCATAAGATACATGTTTTTCTATATCAAAATTTTTTTATCACAAAGGTTTAAAGGCGAGTACATTTTCTAAAAAAGTAAGATTGTGGTTGGTCAAATCATGTCATGTGATTAGTTCAAAATACTTTGAATATCATATGGTCAAGATATTATTTCCAGATTTCACTGATACTGTATTTGAATGCTATTTTCATATACATAATAAAGATTTGCACTATATAATGTACTGAAATAACTCAATAGACACTACCCTTCAATATATCTTTAGATATTGTTTTACTTCTTGTATATCACATAATAAATCATGTAATAAATCTATATCATATGTACATCTATTCTATAGTCACTGTGATATCCCTAGGATATCATGTTCAAATAAAAATGGTATTTTTTGTAACCAGTGCAAAAATATCATATTCTTGGCATATTCTACTAACCATGAAGTACACCTTTCAAACCATGACATATGTTGCTGTACCCCATGGATAAAAATCATATCACTCATAAATCATAAGATATCCTCTAGTACTATGTAATGTAAACATGAACTGTTTTTACATTTTCAATTTTTCCATTTTGCCTAATCTGATTGCATTTCACAGTGACTTATTTTCAGATAGCTTAGAAGCAGAAGCTTCTATCTTCCTTGTATAACACACCATGTAATAATAAGTGATTTGGCTAATCTGGCTAAAGGATAATAAAGATAATTTGAATTTATCCCAATGCAGGGCTGAGCCAGCTTGTTAAGGTATATATGATTGCATGAGGAACCCAGGTAAAAGTGGATTAACAGATTAGAAAGGGCAAAGTCCAATGATGATTACAATCTAAAAGTATCTTCATATACTTCATACTCTCATCCTTCAAGATCGGTCCTTCACTGCTTTCATAGCTGTAATGCAATGAATTACTCTTGGGCCAAGGATGTCATACTCTATGAATCCATGTATATACACAGTTTGTTCACTAATTATTTGGAGTGGTTTTATATCCCTTTGTAAGATAATTTGGTTGTTGGGATATGGAAACATGGAAAGTGTATTTTGTCTTCAGGTAACATAGAGTTATAGTGTAGCCTAGAAGAGAATGTTTTCATTTATTATTCACTGTTCCACAACTAGTTACTTTGACAGAACGTCAATGTAACAAAATGGATGAACTTCCTGGATACGGGTTTTTGTTTTCTTGATTTAACTAATGTATAAGTTATATTGCGGATTATCATTTGGCACAAAGTTAAACAATATAGTCTAGCTTTTACAAATGCCCTTGGTTTGGAATTTGATTTTTAAATAAGCTGTAATTCATGCATTTAGACCATCGCTTGTGTTACATTGACATAAGTCGTCAAAGTAACATACAGGGTGGGCCAAAAAAAACCAATACCCAACTTTAAATCAGACTGAAAATAGCTATGTTCAATATGATACATTGATTTATATATCATTTTAAAGGTAATCATTTTCGAACAATTTGGTATATAACACTATGTCATGAAATCAATATTAAAGTTTTATTATGCTTATTTGGGAGCCCGGAGTATTTAAGGTATCCAGATTTTAGGGAGAAAATAGTAAATCTGCGGAATAATGTTAATTTTTTATTTACAGAATGTCATTTTGCTAGGTGAATTAATGCTTGCATATTTGCATATTGTGTGACTAAACTTAATGTTTATGAATTTTAGTGTTGTTTATTATCAATAAGTACTTAAAGGGGGTCTGTTAAAAGACATTAAATGTATATGTGACGAGGATTTTATTTTCCAACAAGACATCGCCTCGTACCATAGATCTCAGGAGACATTGGCATTCCTTGCAAACAACGTGTCAATTTGATTGATCTCGATGCTTGGCCATCCGATAGGCCCAATGCTACATGTAATGTGTTTGATTACCATACATGGAGCCATCCCGAGGAAATGGTACAATCAAAAGCATCCAATAAACAGCTTTGATGTGCTGAAACAGAATCCTAAAGTGCTGAAATGAATTGCAACAGAAATCTCTCAATAAGGCTATTGATAGATTGCGCTACCACTTGAAGCTTATTGTTGATGCATAGGGGAGGGGGTGGGGGTATATTGAGCAATTGTGAAAATTGTTTAAATAAATAAAGTGTAAAATGTTATTAAACAACACTGAAATTCATAAACAATAAATTTAGTCACACAATGATGCAATTATCAATATCCAAGCCTGTATTCACCTAACAAAAGAATGATATTCTATAAATAAAAAATTAACATAATTCCGCAGATTTACTATTTTCTCCCTTAAATCTGGAGACCTTAAATAGCGACCCGGGCTCCCAAATAAGTATAATAAAACTTTACTATTGATTTCATGACATAGTGTTATATACCAAATTGTTTGAAATTGTATAACCTTTAAAATGGTATGTAAGTCAATGTACCATATTGAATGTAACTATTTTTATCCTGATTTGAAGTTGGGTATTGTTTTTTTTTGGCCCACCCTGTATATTGGTAACACTAGACAACAGCAACGCCTGTGGCTTCAGGAATAGTACATTTTAGAGGATATTCCCTTGGGGAAATAATTTACACTATTGCCCTCAATGGCAATCACTATTTGTATAATATAGACCCTATCTGATATGTATGGACATATGTTGTGTGATTTGATTTGGCATCCTCTGAATGCAGGACTCATTGGGGGCAGATTATTCCTGAGTTGCATTCAGAGGAACATGGGCTTTTTCCACTAGCTAGGCTCCTATTTGTAGTATGAGGTACACAACAAAATATCATTACACTGATATAGTCTACTTGTATATTTGCAATTACAAAAGTGTAACCATTTGTTACAGATACTGACAATGAACATTGGTGTCAGTCACAAAAAAACAGTGGCTCTAGCAATATTTCCCCAGGTATATTCCACAACTTTTTTGGTGATGACATAAAAAAGCCATCATTACATTATGACAACATTCAAACAGAGGTCAATGACAGTTCTGTTTCATCGTCTTTGCCAAATGACACAGTTGTTGTTGATAGTTGACATGGCGTGGCTAGATTTGTGTTTTATCATAGACCTCTGCTGTATCTTTTTCTGAACTCTTGTTCAATGATGATATGTGATAATTCATTGAATAATTTACATTTGTTTATGAAGAGACCAACAGGAAATGAAAGTGAAAGTAGATCTATAAAAATGAAGTTCAAGATTCTGACTAAAACATGTAGAAATAGGCTCGATACTTACAGTACTTTCTGCATTGACAGGTGTCTGTGTATTTGCCGCAACCCATGCCTCTGCAAATGTTTCCATAGCGGCATGAAAGTCCATTTTGTCTGGGAAAATCTCCCGAATTTTTCAGACGGTCTCTCCACCAGCAAGCTGTCACAGCCAATGAGACGACTTGACTGTCACACAACAAGTGGTTATACACATTCAACTTTTTTCAATACTGCACCTTCGCAGAGTCCCAAATTTGCACCAAATGTTAGTAAGAAATCTTAGCCTATTGATTTTGTTATATTTTAATGTATTTTGTCGGAAATATCGAGGTTTTGGGCTCATTTTTGATAATCCTAAGGAGGATTATGGAGCCCAACAACACCTTCCATTAGACGCACATATAATATAATTCGCTGAGCAGTACAATGGTAAATATTCGAGGTACATCGATGTTACAAATAAAAGTAACGTAAAGCGTGTTTTATTGTTAGGGTTATACTAATGTATGAGGAATACCATGATTTAATATTTCAATTCTAAGGATTTGGACAGTATGTATTAGCGGAATAATTTGACCTAGATAATATGAAAGTAGTGCTAATTGAAATATAAAGATATTTTCAGGATCTTTTTGTATTTGTGACAACGTTTTGTTTTTTATAGAGAAAAAAACAATGTAATGTTACATATGATATTTGTTTTATACAGAGTTATCTCACATTAGGATAAAGCATTTGGTTTCATTTCAGGTGAGTTATCACAGTATTATTCGAGACTATAAATCCAAGATGGCCCTGTGATTTGCTGATTGATCACTTTTAGGTTTTTATTAGCCTTAGACGTGGATCCACGGCTCTAGTGACTTATTTGACTATCGGAGTTTTGATAGGGTCTGGGGCCATGACAAATCTCAGATATATATATAAAGGCCCAGAGGCGCATGAATGCACCTATATTAGCCTATGCATACTGACGGACTACAGCTGTGAATGCAATCCTGCTAAATGTAAGTCCTCTAAAAACTAGAGATGTCACCATAGGCCAAGGGTAGTAAGTTATCCCGTACCATAGTCCGGGAACAGGATAAATAGTAAGCTGTATATAGAAGACACTGTAGGGTTTGTAGAAAAAACCGGGTACCGGGTAGTAAATCCTCCATGCTGGGTTCATACTTGGTACCCGGTACCCGGTCAAAAACCGGGTACCCAAAAAACGAAAAATACTAATATACAACATAATTAGATCATTAGAAAACGTGTAAGATTTGTTTTGAATATACAAAAATGTATGCAACTTCCCTCAAAATTGAGCCAGAAGCTTCAAATAAAAAGCATTTTAAGGCTCTTTTCTTCCTCTATCATCATGGTCATATTTTCATCGGTTATTAGGCCTGTCAACTGTCCCGCAATTTGCGTATTTGTCACGCATTTGCTGAAGAATTTGAAGTCACGCCAGAAAATGTCACGCAAATACGCATTTTACCTGGTATTGTCAAGCAAAAATATTTCTGTAGAAAAAATTCTAAAACAGTTCGCCGATACAGCAAAAATACGAACACCAAAAAAAACGTACGCAATCCGTTCGGACTTTTCACGTGAATCACGTATATGTCACGCATTCCGTTCGAAATTTTTCGTCACCTCTAATTTCAATAGTTCGTATGTTGGTACGTGAACAGTTTTGATCATGATTTAAATCTGTAAATAGCTATCGTTACTTTAGCAGAGAGGTGACGTGTGTTAATTTACATGATGCAACGTGTAAGATTTTGATTATTAATCATAATTTAAGTTATCCCAATTTTCGACGAAACGTCCACTGAAGTGTAAATTGTTACGTCTTACAATGTCATAGGCGATCGCACCCCACCCCATAACCTATGAAAATATGACCATGATGATAGAGGAACGAACCTTAAAATGCTTTTTATTTGAAGCTTCTAGCTCAATTTTGAAGGAAGTTACATACATTTTTGTATATTCAAAACAAATCTTACACGTTTTCTAATGATCTAAATATGTTATATAATCGTATTTTTCGTTTTTTGGGTACCCGGTTTTTTCGACCGGGTGCCGGGTACCAAGTTTGAACCCAGCATGGAGGATTTACTACCCGGTACCCGTTTTTTTCTACAAACCCAGACACTGTATCTTCTAATATACAGCTTACTATTACTTTTCCCTTAGCCTATGGATGTCACGGAACAAAAAAAAATCGGAACAGTTTGGTTCGGAACATTTTGCCTCGGAACGGAACAATTTCGAAACGGTTCGGAACAGAGTGACTGCGTGTATAAGATCAGAATAAGTTGATCATCTAGGTCTATAGTGGTAGCGAAAAGCTCTTCAAAACTCTTCAATGAGAAGGAGTGAAAAGAATGAACCTCTTTTGGTGCAAAAATTGAAATAAAAATGCTGTTTTGTGGCGATTTAGGGCCAAAAGTTGTGAAAGGCTAAAATGTTCTCGTTCCGGAACCGAACCGAAATTCTCAATTTGTGTACCGTTGCGAGGGCATAATTCCGCGGATCGGAACGAAATCGGGTATCCGTGACACCTCTTCTAAAAACCCTGGTGTTCGACAATCAAAAAATCCATTTATTCGCTCAGTTGGCCTTAGTATTCCCTCCACATAAGTTTGGCCGATGCCTTAACTAGCGCCACCTACCTTTTGTCAGTTAATCACAGGAAATTGAATAGAAATCCCCCTTCTCTCATATCACGCAAATCATTTCTCCCTCGCATTCGTCTCAAATTCCAACATGGAATTAGAGATTCTAAGAAACATGACGTCATTGAAAAATGGACTCGTCGAAAAGTAGGGGACAAGGTATGTATATATTACAGGGGCAGATCCAGGATTTTGTGTAAGGGGGGCCGTGTGATAATAACTGTGGGCGAAGAGTCAAATTTTGAAAAAAGCGATGAGGCAAAACACAAATTATGTCAATGTAACACAAGCGATGGTCTAAATGCATGAATTACAATTACAATTACAATTTGATTTTTAAATAAATCTGCTTTATTTAATAATTAAATTCCAAACCAAGGCTTTTTAGGGGGCGTGCGCCCCCCACGCCCCGTCTAGATCCGCTGGTGTATCAAACACTGCCATCTTTCTTTACAATAGGGAGTTACAAGTATAGCTCCTCACTTTATGTGGTAGAAGAAATTATCAGACTTGGTCGTACATCTTCACCGGGCTCTCGAGGAGATGACTGAACTAAGTCAAAATAAATGTAATTTTTCACCCCTGTTAGATAAACTCGCCCAATATTTTGAAATCTGACTTCACTCAAACACAGGGCAATGAGAATTTTTGTGAAGAAAATGGGTTTGTAGAAAAAACCGGGTACCGGGTAGTAAATCCTCCATGCTGGGTTCAAACTTGGTACCCGGTACCCGGTCGAAAAAACCGGGTACCCAAAAAACGAAAAATACGATTATATAACATATTTAGATCATTAGAAAACGTGTAAGATTTGTTTTAAATATACAAAAATGTATGTAACTTCCTTCAAAATTGAGCTAGAAGCTTCAAATAAAAAGCATTTTAAGGTTCTTTTCTTCCTCTATCATCATGGTCATATTTTCATAGGTTATGGGGTGGGGTGCCATCGCCTATGACATTGTAAGACGTAACAATTTACACTTCAGTGGACGTTGGGATAACTTAAATTATGATTAATAATCAAAATCTTACACGTTGCATCATGTAAATTAACACACGTCACCTCTCTGCTAAAGTAACGAACTTCACGTACCAACATACGAACTATTGAAATTACAGGTGACGAAAAATTCGCGTGAAAAGTCCGAACGGATTGCGTACGTTTTTTTGGTGTTCGTATTTTTGCTGTATCGGCGAAATTTTTTCTACAGATATATTTTTGCTTGACAATTACCAGGTAAAATGCGTATTTGTGTGACATTTTCTGGCGTGACTTCAAATTCTTCAGCAAATGCGTGACAAATACGCAAATTGCGGGACAGTTGACAGGCCTAATAACCGATGAAAATATGACCATGATGATAGAGGAAGAAAAGAGCCTTAAAATGCTTTTCATTTGAAGCTTCTGGCTCAATTTTGAGGGAAGTTACATACATTTTTGTATATTCAAAACAAATCTTACACGTTTTCAAATGATCTAATTAGTTGTATATTCATATTTTTCGTTTTTTGGGTACCCGGTTTTTTTGACCGGGTACCAAGTATGAACCCAGCATGGAGGATTTACTACCCGGTACCCGGTACCCGGTTTTTTCTACAAACCCGAAGAAAATGACTGACCTCTCTTTCAAAGTTCGTATCGATTTTGGAGTATTTCTGTTCCTAGCTATGAAATGGATAAAAACACTTGGCCATAAAACTATGTGATTGGGATATAGGGAACGCCTCCGTCCGTCCGTCCGTCCGGGCAATAACTCAAATACCATTGGCCCGATTTTGTTCATATTTTGTACACATATACCCTATGGGAGTAAAAGTTCTGCTCGAAAGCCGATATTCAAAATGGCCGCTCATTTAAAAATGGCGGCCATTTTAGTGCCGATTTTACAGTAATTTAGGTGCAATATGTAAAACTGTAATAGCAATATATGTTTTAAATGTAAAAAATTATATAGGACATTGATCAAGCTAGAAATGTAGATGTTAAAGAAGCACATGGCAGCAGTCTTGAAAAATGGCGGCCTTTACTCGTTATTTTACGATTTTTGCTGTAACTCAAGAAGTAGTGGAGCGATTTTGTTCATATTTGGTATGTGAATACTACATATGGCTCACTGTCTAATGACACTTTTAGTAGGAGGTTGCTATTTTGAAAAATAGCCGCCATTTTAACATATTTTACTATAACTCAAAAAGTAGTGGAGCGATTTTATTCTTATTTGGTTTGTGAATACCATAAGCATGGTACACTGTCTAATAACACTTTGGCAGAAGGCGGCCATTTTGAAAATTATGTATGTTATTTTATGATATTTGCTCTATATTTCGTTTGTAAAAATGCCAGCCATTTCTGTTCGATGGGATTCGCTACACTTTGGCGTTGCCGTTGTTCTGGTTTAGAAGGAAAACATGAACTTTTTCAGAAAATGGATTTTTCGATCGTCGAACAGCATACTTTTTAGAGTATAGATGTAAAGTGGGGACAAAAATAAATCTCAACCCTCAAAAGTTGTCAAAATGAGCTAAATTCTAAGTTTCGTGTCTCAAACTCTCCCAAGCGGTAGAAAAATAATTCCCATTTACTTTAAGTAGCACAATAAATGAATCCAAAGCTTCATACCTGCAAATGATGGATAAATCCCTACCAAATATATGAAATATTTCAAGGAAAATGCGTGACATATACGGTATCTGCGTGAAAAGTCCGAAGGAAATGCGTTCG